GATGAGTGATTCTGCAGCCCGAGAATGGGCTATGGCACTGCAGGGACCAACCTCCTGCACAATGTGGCTGGGCAGTAGATTCACAGGAAGGTGGGGAATGAAAGTACTGGGGCACCACTGATGCAAAAGAACCCCGTTCATATTTTTGTTTCTAATTTTCATAAAATCAACTTTAGTTGAGTGAAAAATGCATAAGACTTCAGATCAATGATTATATAGTTGAAGAAATTATGTTAGGTTTGGATTACCTATTTTTATTTCCAACTGTAATAGTATCATACAAACTGGCCTATATGAGGGTCATACAATTAACAATGTATGAAACTTTGATAGATTGTGCCGATTTGTTTTTGCAACAGTTATTTCCAGAGCAGATAAAGGAACTTTTGAACATGTTCACTTGTTTTTCAGGTCACAAGGGTGTTATTTAATAAATTATTTTTCTCAGGCACTCAGAGCTACCTTTGTATATTTGAAAAGGTTTAATGCAGCTTTTCAAGTATCTAAGTTATTCTCAGAGAAAAATTTATGCACTAGAGGGTCTTTTCTTATTTAGAAAGTATGTAAATATTTAAAAAAATGAAGCACAAATTGACAACAGGTAGATATGGTTGTTTATACCCAAAGATTTTTCCTCCCAATATTTATTTATATGGATTGTTTATATATTTTTGACCTCTGCATGTAAAATTCCAATACTCTTTACCTACCTCCCCAGAACTTATTCTTCTTCTTGCCTTATTTTTATCCATAGCATTTATCACAAATATACTCCATATTTTACCTATAGAGTTTGGTTCTTATTTACTTCTTTTTTTAGAATGTAGGTTCTATCTGATAATTTAAATTTCTATACCGCAGCCTCTTTGAACAGTACCAGGTGCATGTAAGCATTTAAAAATTGTTTGATAAATAAATGCAAGAATAGATTTATACTCATCAAATCTGCCAAGTAAGTGCTAAATTTCCAGTTGGTTTAGTTGTATATTCATCATTTTCTAGAAGGTAGCATCATATAATGGTCGATGGTGGTTTCTGGAGTCACTGGGCATTTGCATGAAGCCAGCTTCCCACACTGTCTGACTGTTCACTCTTGGGCAAGTTACTTAATGTTTTAAAGGCCTTAGTTTTCTTTTCCCCAGAATAGGAGAATATATTACCTATCTTCTTGTTATAAAGTACAAATGAAATGTACTTTCAAATTAAAATATTCTGTTACACAGCCAGCCCTTACAAATCACCTGTTCTACCATTAAATCAATTTGTGAGAAGAGTATTACTCATGGACCCATTGCTTAGCTGGAATAGAGACATGACAATTATGTGGATATTTTAAAATATTTTGTTTCAATCATCTGAATCATTTAGTTAGAAGTATATTTAAAACTTACATTATTAATATAATTTATTTTCTGAAAATTAGCAGGACATTTATCTTATTTCTTTAACAAATGAAGTCAAACATAGAAATGAAATAATTTGAAAGTCAAGCTCAGCTTTTGATTTTACTCTTTTATTTTCTAGGTCTGTAACTCTGGTAAGGCAACTAAAACTTTTAAGCTTCAGCTTTCACATTTGAAACTTAAAAATTCAATGTGTTAGTAATTGGATTTTAAACACGGCACTGTTTCTAATACACAACAGATCTCAATAAAATTCATGTGAAAATTATTTTATAATAGCATGTAGAGAACAGTATTTATGAAAGAATTATATAAATTTATATAAAATTGAATGAAAATTTAGAGTGAAAATATATTTTATTGACTTCAAATCCAATCCTAAGTAAACAAATTATAGATTTATATGTTGAAAGAAGTTATCCTTTTTAAAGGGGATTTTAATATGAGAAATATTGACATATTTGACAGCAAATCTCCTCCTATATGACTTCATTTGTGTCATAGCATAGACCCTGTTGATAGCAGTCTAAGAGATGTGGATAAAATCAGCACTTTTGAATTTTTAAAAATTCAATAATTTATATACAATCCTCTCCATCCTCATCAAAATTTATGATGGTACTAAGTAAAAAACATAAAACCCTCAGGCACACATATATTCAAGGTAATTACTGTCTAAGGATATCAGAGTATTTTATTATATTGGCTGTGTTAGGGATTGTTAACACCTAAGTAGGCTGGGAAATTCATATTGCAATTAGATATGACATAGAAGATAGAAAATGCTTCTGGTGAGATTCTCTAACAAGAATGTCTAGAGCCATGGTGGGGTATCAAATAACTCATGTCGTCTCAGAGTACACTACAGAAATAGGTCTATCATTAAGCATTTTTAGCCAGATCCGTACCGGAATTCATGTGTCTGGAACTCCTCCTGTCCAAAAGCTAGGGAGCCTGAGCAGCTGGGACATTAGTCTTTGATGAGTGTAAAGTCTAAATATAGTTCCCAAGTACCAAGCAATTAACTGTATTTCACACAAAAAATAATTAGAGCTATTAAAAGGTAGGTAAGATTCAATGTCGTCAGTATGCTCAGACTGCACTGTGTTCTTTATGAACATGCAGTTTGTAAAGTCTTCTCATGATTGTCCTGACTTTCAAATGACAGATCTAAAGAACAGCTGAAAAAAAATTTTGATTCCATATTTACTGCTATCAAAATCAGTGTATTTTCTGTTAGGGCTCGTTATCTATTTCTACCACTCCTTTATTTAAAAAAATATTTATAGGTTTTAATGTTCATGAAAGTAATGTAGCTTTTGTTCAATATGTGAAAAGTGCATGCCTTTTTTAGACAACTTCAGATCTGTTCCAATGTTAGAAGGCTAAATCACCATAACCGCTCTCAGTAAGCTGTTTTGTTAGGCATAAGTTTTTCATCGATTTTTGGCAACACAGGCATGTCTAGTTTCATCTATAGTAATAGTTTTTATCATTACCAAAGAGAAGTGAGGTCTTTTCCCTTTTTATAAAATTATTTTCTCCCTAATAATGCCTATATTATGACAGATACCTCTTTTAAAAATTGTATCAATTAATTTTTATTTATTGTCACATGAAAATCTCTATTAAAACATAAACAATTAAAAAAGCTAAGGACAGGTGATGATGACAAATGGCAACCAAAAGAACCGCTGTATTTATTTAATAACAGGGGATGTTTCAGTAGATTGTGCAGCCAAATTTATTATCAGAATAATCTGTTATTGGATTCTATTTTTTTTCATTTCTTTTCTATGTCACTAAAACTTCCTGAGAATCATTTTTTTCCTCTTTGCATGGAGCAATAATGCCAACATCATACAATCATTATAGAGAATGTAAATGAGAGACTATAGGAAAATGATCTGGCACATCTTCTTTGTGCAAAGTGTATACTCAAAAAATCTTTTTCTCTCACAAGCAAATATAAAAACTAGAAAGTGTTTCAGTATAATAAAAATAACTCACTAACTTAAATTCCTACCTCTAAATTCTTGGGATGCATCTCTTTGCTGGAGATAGCAGTGTGTATCTAGTCTCCATCACCTTCTGGGAGTTAATGGGCTCCATCATGAGAAGAGGGTGGCACAGTCTGGAGTGTGTGTGTGTGTGTGTGTGTGTGTGTGTGTGTACTGGGGAGGGTACTGCTCAGAACCAAGCTGCACCCTTTCCTAGCAGTCTTTCAGAGACTCCAAAAGAGCATGGATGCCTTGTTCTATTTAAATATCTTGTAGAGGTAGACAAGGATGGTATAGATGTGACCAGAGTATGGGTCAGCCATCTGTATGAGATGTTCTAGACTTCCCAGAAGATCAGAATTAAGGAGACACATAGATGTTTACCCAAAGTCACTAGGCTTGTGACTCAGCAGTACATTATAATGCCAAGGGAAGGAAGTTCCTGTTGAGTTGTTTTCAGTCTACTTTTGAGAGTAAATGTATCCCTTCTTTTCCCACATCCTCACCAAAGAGGCTTTGCCCACCATAAACTGTTATTTTACTGATGATTCAAAAATCAAGATGTTTTTCCTTCCTTTTGCTAAAGACTTCACTAATCTTCTAAGAGAGAGCTTTTACCCCAAACCCCAAGGTTTTAAAATGCACTGAATTATATGAGTAAACCTTTATACTTTTATTTTATTTTTGCTTTTTATGCATAAACCAAAACTGAATGACTTTATTTCAATGTACAAACTATGCTAAGAGAAGGTGGACACTTCTGGAAGATGTTTTAGCTTTACTAGGCAAGAAAAGAGTCTTCAGGTAAAAATATTATTAAATAGACTGATATTTAAGTTTGAAAGTCAATTTCTATTTATTTGACTGACCCACATTGATGTCTTAAAAACAACTCTCATTGCTTTATATTAGAATTTAGCATTTTCATGCATCTGTGTTCTTCCTCAGCATCTCTGAAGGAGCAATGCCCTCGTTTCAGCTATGCTGTTGTTCACACACATACTACTTTTCAGTCTTTCCTTTTGCAGCATCTGTGTGTTTACTGAGAAAATGATGCACAAACCATTAGCTTTGAGAAATTGCAGTAATAGAATTCCTTTGTTGAGAGAAAATTTTTTTTCTGACCATAAATGTCATTAAGAGTATTGAAAATTCCCTTGGAATTGGATATTGAAGTGTTTGAATCCCTCTGACTTTATGAATGTTGATTTTATAAATGTATATTTGTCTTTAAAATTTTGAGATAGTTTGTTTAGCTGTGTTATTCAAATCTGCTAGATACTTGACTTGAATTCTTTCTACTTAAAATAAAATGTTTTTTCTTTTGTGAACTTTATAATTTACCGCTTAGCTATTCTAGTATAAGAGTCTGGCTTTCTTACCTTCAACAAACTGAAATTGAACAATAAAAATAATACTGAAATATTGTAACCAAAATCTCTGCCTTCATTTTTGATAATGATTTCTGATAATCCTCAGGCCTTAGCGAGTTTTGATAGTATGGAGATAGACTGCTTACTTAACAGTGAGTTGAGGTCAGCCTTTCCAGCAAGTATGAGGGAAGGCTGGTGATGCCAACGTCGTAATTCTTTTCTAGGTTTGACAATGGATGGAATATGGTTGCTGCTGCTCCTAACAATTAGAGTGCTGCCAGGGTCTGCTCAGTTCAATGGTTACAACTGTGATGCCAACCTCCACAGTAGATTCCCTGGTAAGTCTGAACCTAATCTACTCTCTAATTGTTTCTAGAAGGAGTGATTATATTTGAGTAGTAAATCATTTAAATACATACAGACAATGGGGTCTATCTCTTTACATTAAATGGATATTAACAAATGGCAAATGACAAGAGACATTTTCCTGGAGTTGTAATTTATATCCATATTAACATACAAAGTGTTCATCAAAGATAATATTATTATAATGGCTGCTCACAAATCTGAAAATTATTGGCTAGAGGGTAGTAAAATTGGAATAGGCTATTTTCATTCAAAAATTTGTCTAGTTGAATTCTTTTCATAATTAATTCAGACTTTTAAAACTGCCTTTATACATGAATATATTTATTTAGGAATAATTCTTAAGTAAATGATTGAAAAATATGTGTTACCCAAAAATCACTATTTCAGTGAACTATTTAGTCACCATCAAAATACACAGGGCAGCTTCAGAATTAATTTCAAAAATATTTATTTAAATTGTGATAGATACGATGTTTTGATCATATTTATTGATATGTCTCACAGGTTCTTAAGATCTGCACTGGTGAGAAGATACTCCACATTTCATTAAAGCATTTGTCATATTACATTGGTTAGAATTATCAAATTATGGTTCAACATTTACAAATTGAAAATTAGAGGATGAGAACTTACTCTTCACAAGTCTGCCATGCAAACTGTATACTTTAGGCCGTGTTTTGCAGTCTACAAACTTATCAACCTCTTATGTATGGAGCATGGTAGGGTTATCACACATCTTCACAGAACATTTATTTCATAGTGGAAGTGAGATTTCTGCATCAGAATAAGGACTAAAATATATCTGAATGGCTCCTTGAATTCAGACCTAGTGTCTATGAACTCAGCATGTAAAATAAAATATAGAGGCCATAATGGGGAATGCCTAAATATAGTCTATCAAGGATGCTAAGACAGGGTCCTTAAAGGTTTTGAATATCACATATACATTTTTAAAGCATTTTTCTTTATGGAAAATTTCAAGCATAAAATGCCTAGCTGGTAAAAAGATCATACTGATCTTCCACATTTATCAGTTATCAATATTTATATAAATTTTATTTTTTTCTCCTCACTATTCTCATTTCTGAAGTGTTTCAAAGGAACTTCATTTTTCATGCTTCAGTATGTGTATTTAGTGGAAAAGAATTTTAAAAATTATATCATGTATATATCTAATAAATTCAGTAATTTCTTAACGTCCTCTAATATTCAGCCGAGTTGCCTGACACTCTGGATGTGGCCAACTGCAGCTCAGAAGTGTCATTTAGCAGGCTCATCTTTGCTTGTATATCCTATAATCTAATTAGACTTAGAAGTTTAAATAAATACAGGTTCAAATGTTTTGGCAAAAATGATTTGTCTGTTACATTGTGTAATTGAAGAGTTCTGTCTGTATTTAGTAGACAGTGAAGAGTCATGGAGTGTTTTTAAATATATCTTGTTAAAGGTTTAATATGGTCATATTTAGTTATAAAAAACAGACATTGGGAAAAGTGAAAGCAAGTCAATTTAGAAGAGCCTAGAAGCAGAAAGAAATATGGATGTGGGAACAATAGAAGGGAATAACTATTAAGCTATTTTTTTGCGTGGACTCAGCAGAATTTGAGAACTAATTCAACTGGGAGGTCAGAGAACAGGAAGATGGGAGTATGTTTTGAGCATGGACAGCTACACTGTTAAGTGACATCAAAAATATAGGATACTTTTATGTTTTGGAAGGAAGTTTAAGTTTGGAAATAGTGGGTTAGAGGAAATTTTTAGGAAAGAACACATAGTGGAAGCTTCTGTGAAATGGTAGGAAACATAGATTTGAATCAGAGAAAGGAAGTCAAAACTGGAAATAGCTATATGAGAATTGAAACCCTGTGCAGCGAGTGAGCAAAGATTAGGAGACAGAAAATGAAAGGTTTCATAAAAGACTACTGTTTGGGTAACTTTCGTGGTAAAGGAAAAAAGAAGACTCATCTGAACCAGAAATTGAAATAAGAAGAGATTTTACTATCTCTCTCCTCTCTCTCTCTCTCTCTCTCTCGTGTGTGTGTGTGTGTGTGTGTGTGTGTCTGAGTAAAGGGAAAATATGCAGAGATTGGAAATATAGTAAGGAAATAAATGATGTGATGAGAAAAGAAAATATAGAAAAGATGAACTGTACAGTTAGAGGAATCGACTTTGGGAAAGGGCTAGCTCTTTCTTTGACTTGAGAAAGGAGAGATACATAGGCAGAGAATGTGAGAGATGCTTTTTCTTTTTTTCTCCTCATATGTTGGAAGAAGGTGTCTTCATTCACATTAGGCCAGAGGTCCGGCAACACCTTGAAAGGGCGGTCAAGACAAGGCCCTGTTACAGGTGGATAAGAAGTCTTAGCAGGATAAGATTGCTTAGCAGAGAGGATCTCACTGATGTAGTTATACATATAAATGTGAATAAAGCATGTTGATCAGCCCAGAAGTGACTATGACAACAAAAATGTATATATCATATGGTAAACAATTTTTAATTATGTAAAAACATTCATTTACATTGTTATCTACTGAATGCTTGCAACAAAATCCACCATGTAAAGTTGTTAAAAATGTGGAATCCACCACTTCACCCCAAAATGTGGTGTCAGAATCTCTGAATATGGTGACTGGAGTCTATTTAAAACCCTGTAGAAAAATAAATCAATAAAACCTTGTAGAGGATCTAATGCACATTTATGTTAAAGAATAAGTGCAACATGTTGGGGATTCTTTATTACAATTAAAAGTGCAATCATGTATTAAGGAAATATAACTGAACAGCAAATCTTTTCCCAGCCCCAAAATTCTCTCCACCAAGGTAGTAGAGAAAGAAAACACTTTATCATTAAATAAACATGAAGCTCAGAATGTAACATGGATTCTGTGCAAGCACTAAGAGATTGCAAAGGTAGAAAGAAAAAGAAATCTCACCCTTTTACATTGCCAGAGCAATACAGCCTGTTCCATGTGTATGTTCTTTTTTTTCCTTTTCTCATATTTTTTCTTTTCCCTTTGTTCCTTTCCCCTACCCCTCCCACTTCCCCTGTTCCTTTAGACCTTAACTTCCTGTTACAAATATCAATTATACATTTTTAAAATTATAATATCAAGATCTAGGAGACATTACCACAGATTTTACAGGATTTAAAAGGATATAGAAAGCATATTTCAAAAATCTTTTGTGAAATAAATTTGACAACTTCTAAGAAGTACCTTGGAAGACAAATTAATGAAACTAACTCTGGAGGAAATATAAAATTTGAA